CCCTTTAGCCCTGTGCCCATCTCTGGACCTCCCATTCCAAGCAGTGGATCTGAATATTAGAGCTGAGTCAAACCCTGACCCGGAAACGTGAAACTGGCCATACCTTTGCTTTGGTATAGATCTCAAATATTTAAATCAGCTAGTAGTTTTAAAGTGACGAATAAAAATGCTCGGGGCAGTCTGATTAGTAGCTGAGCACATGGTTTAGATCTAATGTCCTCTGGTAATCACTGGATGGTGTCACTTGGTTTTGGGGACATGTTTATTTCTGTGGGTTTTGAGGCCGATGGAGGCCTATGACTGTTATCCCTCCTAAGAGAGAAGCTCGTTTTTCCATTGTCATTAACTCTGGGGGTAGCACTGGGGGTGGTATGTGGCATCTATCTCATCGACACACGACATCCTGATGCGGTCATCATCTCAACCGGTCAGCCTCTCAAATAGCAAACGTCCTGCAGAGCTGCTGTGTTTCAGTCGTAGGAATCAACCCGTTTCCTCTTTATCCGCGTCCACTGTTCCTACATGCAGTGTGTGTGGACATGACAGTGGTGAACATCGTTGTACTACTTTATGCCCTTTATGTATCCATCGTAGTCCTTAATGTTCAAGTTCAGGAGGAATCAGTTCCTTTGATTTTCCTTCTCCTCCTTTGGATTTTTTGCATGTTACGGTGTATGTAGAGCCAAGTTAAACATGCCACCAGTAATATATTAAACAGCATATAATCTGATATTTCCTATGTACAGAGTCTTGAAGCATTCCATATAAAGTGTGCTGGAGTGGACTGTGGGTGAGAATGGGTGGCCTGCAGCAGAAGCTGGACGCCCCGCCCCCCCCCTGGGTTCTGGAGGGGAGCCGGGTGTAAAACCTGGATGGCAGCTCCTGGGCGGCTGTGCCAAAGCTTCTCCAGAGGCAGGCGGGTGGCAGACGGCAGCAGAAGTCAATGAGGAGGTTCCCCTGTTACTGGGAGGGTGTTTTGCTGCGGGCGGGGGGGTCAGTTGAGCTGGTCCTCGTACTGTTTCCTGAAACAGTCCCCAGCAGGGAAGAACTCCCAGCAGCGCTCCTGGTACATCTTCCACACGTACGACTCCTGAGGACAGCCAAACACAGCCGCTAGTGACACGCACCCACAGAGGCTCCTCACACCCCAAATATGTGTGTGTTTGTCTTTCATTAACCCCTTGTGGTGTTCAGCTTTATGAACTTTAATCTCAGTGCTCTGTCCAAGACTTTGTCAGGGAGAGAAGCCTCCCTTGATCATCCAATACTGCTTTATTATTTATTTAAGACTTATTTTTGTGACAGAAGTAAGATGGTTAATGCCAAACCTGATCAGGGGGACAGGAAAAGAGAAAAAAAGAAGGGAAAAAATGTGAAAAAAAGGGGGGAAAAAGATGAAATGAAATAAAAAATAGAGAAAAAGTCACAATAATCTATTTTTGAACCTTTAGAGGCTGCACCACTGGTTTGAGCCCTACTGAGGGCAGTTTTTCAGCGGCGGTAGCAGCCTGAGTCACACATGGTGGGGGGGCTAGCAGGCTGCTGGGTGCATGACTGGGTTCAGACTGGGGGTTTTGAGGTGACATTCCTGGATTTGGTCAAAGGTATGACTTTGCTTTGCCGAAGACTGAGCCGCCGAGGACTTAAACATCTCTTCTCAATTTCATATTTTTGGTCTGTGCAGCCTGTTGCCTCTCTGACACTGTCAGTGTTTGTCATGAATCTGGTGGCAGCTGAATGCATTAGTGTCATGGGAGGATTACTCTGCCGGTTCTTCTCTCTAACTCTGAGGCTGTAATCACATGATAAGACTTACAAATCATTTTCAATGTTGCACAAATGTGAAGTGCAGCAGTCTCATCAGACACACTCAGGAGCTGTTAAACTGTCACATTATCAGCAGAAATTTGACAGATGATTAAAAAAAACAACACAATAATATAACAATAATACGATGAGGAGCTGCGATACAGTTCCTGTTTGGGAAAGCATGTTTGAAAAAATTATTTTTCTGTTTATTCTGCAAATCGATCAAGCAATTAATGTTATTCCATGTGTCCAAAAGATAGATTTTCTTTATTAGAGGAATTTGCTGGAACTGTGATGCGTAACAAGACTTTGTAAAGCAGGAGTTCAACAGCCTGAATCTGAGCTTTACTCAGAATACACATCAGAACATCAGAATATAAAGAGCTTATAATGAAAGAGCAGGAGCTTATTTACCTGACCTGTGTGCTCTGTTTCATCTTTGTTGATAAGATACATCAAAAAGAATCTGAAACACAGAGAATTTTATCACAAATTTATCCACAAGCATAATCACATGAAAAATACTCTCCATTTCTGCGTAAAACATCTCTCTTACCTGGTGTTATTAAATTTGTTTATCTGGATTTTTTTAATTGAATCTATTTCTAATTAAGGTTTTTGCAGTTGGTTGACTGCTTTTTAATATTCTGTAATGAGTTTAATCTGTAGAATACATTAATTATAATGTATTTCACCATCTTGTCTTTCTTTTGGGAGACAATCCTACATGTAATAAAAGTTAATTTCTTTTTTTCCCCACTCTATAAGTCAGAAATCAGGAATGAAAAGTTCCAATGTGCTCTGCGTGTCTTTGATCCATTGTAGTCTTGTATATTCTACAACTCTGGAGAGGCCTCTGCTTTCCCCTTTGCACTACATTTCCTAGTCCACAAATTCTGATCACATCCAGGTTTTAGCTTCAGAAACAGCCGTGCTGCAGCCTGTGGACCCACCCATTTCATACTTTAAAACTAAATGACCAGTTAATGAAACAAATTCCACCGGGATCTTTTATTGGGAAATAGATTTTTCTATCATAGCTGGAGATTAATGATATGCTGTAAAGATGCTAAAAAAAGGGAAAAAACAAGTTTCTATAGCGATGCTCTGTATTAAAAGGTTTAAGAAAGAAAATCAACAGAATCGTTTCTTAATGGCTCAACTTCACTTCTTCATATTTGTGGGAAATGGAGTCACCCAGGCTCTTGAAATCTTTCACGTCATGTTAAAGTAACAACATAAACCCAAGCATGCAGAAATCCCCGATTTGTACTTACAGGTAATTGGCCAAGTTGTGCTCCTGTAGTGTGTGCGTTTCAAAGCCGTGCGGCACTGTGTCAAAGTAGTCGTTTCCTATTCCACAGATAAAACATTTGGTCTGCAAGAGAAGTGTGTGAGAAGTGTTAATTCATTTCTGTAAAGGCCACCTTTCATCCCTTCTGGATGTCCAATAGCAGTTTCAGTCTAAGTCTCACTGGGTGAAATAAGGACTGTATGGTAACACATCAGTGCATGCTCCTTTACCTCCATGTCTTCTTTCACCTGCTCCTGTTGGTCCCTCAGCTCTCCAAAGGCATCGATGATCAACCCTACACACACAGTTCACAGACACAGGGAGTGGAAGATGTGACTAAGTTCTGCTGTTTGTTTCATCTGAACTTAAACTGATTAAGATTGTTGCAAAGGTCAAATGTGACAAATAGGTGAATGTACATTTTCAACATTTATTTGTGATTATAGACTGGTATAAATTGAGATTTGCCATCTGTTTCATTTGAATAAATCCCCATTCTAAGAGTGACAGAAGAGCTGGCATACTATAAAATAGATCCTCCATTTACTTCAAAACCTCTGAATGAGACAATAGGAGAACATAGCCACTAGAGTATGATAATTGATTCTTAAAAAGTCATCTAACATCCATCTCTATCATAATTTCTCATCATTAATCTGTCATGTGATTTAAATGAAGTTCCCTAAGTGCATGATGTGTCTGTTATTCTAGTCTGACTGCCTTTCTTTTAACTTTTCAGAGTTATTGCTGTGTATTAGGCCGTTATTAATAAATATTCACATATGCGTTTGTGTGTGTTGTCGTAGGCTGCTGACCCTGGATGATGGCCAGGAGGATCACAATGACGAAGAAGAAGAAGGTGATGTCAAAGATGATGCGGTAGATTTCGTACTCGTCTCCTGCTGGGTCCTCAATCTGGTCCCCGATCCCCCCGCCTGCCCTCACACCCACATACATGTGGAACATGTAGCACTGGGGGGTGGAAGACAGACAGAAAAAGGGGCTCAGATAGATTTATAAAAGGACGACTCCAATTCCTTTGGTTCTCAGGTGGGCTGTATTTTCTACCAGCATAAAATGTTGACAAACTAAACCCACCTATGGGGAACAGCCTATTCCTGATTTTCAGCATAACCATGTATGCATGCTAGAGAGAAAATGTCCCTATTAAAATGCACTGTCAGTGTGTATTTGAATGGGAAACACTGTTAAAGCGCTTTGTAGAGCATTATTCATTCTTATAGTATGGACATGGGTTTTTTATTGTGGATTTTTTCAGGATTGTCCTAAGAGCCTTGACATTTCAACAGTTCCTTCCTCCATCACCCACACTGACCCCAGACTAGGCAGAGTAACATCCTCAGCCCCATAATAGGACAAAGGAGGCTCTATGAGCTGCTATGGGTGGCCAGCTATAGGGGATTAGTAGATTAGAAACGTCTGGGTGACAGAGGGCTCCGTTCCTTTTAAGGTAACCCACTGCAGGAAACAGCTGTATCAAAAGAGAACGGAAGAAGGGATTTCTGTTTCTTACTGGATTTTAGAGTACATCTATCAAAGGCACAAACATTTCTGTGTATCAAAACAGTTTCAAATACATTTGTCTGACATAATGATGGTTAAATCAGGGATGAGTGTAAGTTAACAGCCATCTTTGGCCTGACTTTAATTAAATGTTGCTGTGTGAGAAAGCTGATGCACCTTTTACCACATGCCAATGCTGGGTTATGCTGGACATCTGACCAGCCCTGCTTCTCTGTTTAGAATAAAGCTTTGCTTTCTTTACATTAGTTGTGTTGAACTGACCTGAGTTTAGCTAATTGTGAGAAGCTGTGAAACAAAGAAAAAGATGATCCAGCTGCTCAGTCAGTGAGCAGACAGTCTGCCAGTGGACAATAACGACCCAGAAACCTCTGACCCAGGCCGCTTTGCCCATAGATGGAGCCGGACTGGGACTCTGACCTGGTCTGACTCTGGCCAGGTCTCACTCTCATCCATTTGAAGGATGAACGATCTCACTTACTGTGAGCATGTCATCACACTTCATGTCTGGCAGTTCCCCATCTTCACTCTTGTTGTAGAACTTTCTGAAGAAATTGAAGGCAACAACCGTGTAGAGGTACACCACCACTGCTAACAGCCCAACAGTCAGCACCAGCTGCAGACACAAGGGACCAGGCAGCGCTGTTACATGTTCAAACAAATATAGCTACGTGCACGGAGGAACATATTGGTTAGGAAATCAAACTCACTACTTTAATACATTCCTGTATCTGTTGTCAAACTAATTCATGTATTACTGAGGATGGAGCTAAGAATCTACGAACTAAAGAAATGCAAAAGCCGTTGAACTAATCCTCTTATTTATAATACTTTCTTTCTCCATTTGCATTTGGTTGATGGAACGATTGTGAAAGTTAGCCAACCAAGTAGTCGTTACCTGTTTGCCATTATGTGTGACTGAAGAAAGGATGGTGCGTAAGGTCTTGAAGCCCATGGCGATGTCCAGCAGATGGGCAGCAAAGAAGAAGTTGTTGTAGTGACCCAGAATGGACATGGTCATGTACCATGCCAGGTACAGGAAGGACTGCAGCACAAAAGGGAGGGATGGGTGAGCCAAATAAGTAATGATACAGCTTCTGTTTACTACTTCCTGTTAAAACTGATCATCAAAACATCTTTTCCTTAGAGCCAAATACCCTCCGAAATGTATGTTATTTACATTATTTTCTCTTGTACATATAGAGACAGTACTGTGTTTGAAACCGCTGACAATATTTTTGCTACATCGATATGAATTTTTGGCCAAATGAATAGGTGATGTCACAGTTTACTACTGTCTTAATTGAGCTGAAGTGGAGGATTAACTCCTGTTAAAAGCAGAAGTGTTTTTTACTGGAACAAAACATTATGTACAATATGAATTCTGATAGACAGCAAAACCATTTGGAGCAAATATGAGCACTGTAATGGATTATTTTAAATTTGCACACATAAAATAGACGTAGAAGAACCAGACTCTGTCAGACAAAACAAAAACGATCTGAATAAACTGGATCAGATTTTAAATAGATGAAATTACGTAAAAATGGAACTAATGGAATTAAACTTGACTTCAACTGATTGAGCTGTCAACTAAAGGCTGGGGAGTAGTTTGTGTGCTGGACACTTGCATTGTCTGTGAACACAACCCCGAGCTTCCAGATCTGGTACTTGACATCGATGGAGTTCAGTCTGTTGAGAGGAGGTTTTAAATCAGAATACATAAAGCAATATCAATATATTAAGCCATAAAGGAATTATTCCATGTGTCTTAATACATAGTCTACTTGAATGACATTGTGTGTAATATAACATTGTTTAGTTTTTTTAAATGTAAGATGATATAAAATTGTCATGTAAATGAGCCAGTTCACAGGCTGACAAAATTATGATCGTCCTTCTCCTCTCACTCTCTAAATAAACAGATCACTCACACGGCTGCCAGGGAGCTGTCTCTTCGGGGTTTTCTTTTTTTGTGCGCGTCGCTGAAGTCCAGAGCCGCTTTGTCCAGTCCCAGCAGCTCACTGATGCGGTCGTGGCCGTAGAACTCCCCGTACTTATCCATCACCTGGGAAAAGGCCGGAGTTAGCAGAACAGCATCTCAAAGCTTTTTCTAATCAAACCTCTGCCATGTAAGGTGTTTGTTTCCCCACCAGAGGGAAACTACAGGCACATCATCTAGCATTCAGCTTTAACGGGAGGTTAACATGTCCACTACAACACCTGCCTTTCTCTTCACAAACTTATCCCAGTAGTTGTTCGGGAAAGACCTGAAAGATAGGGGGAAATAGCTATATTAGAATTATTCCAATGTAACAGATGCAAATGCTGCTATCATTTCAAAATATTTCATTCAAATAATTATAGTCAAACACCACCATCATGCAGGAGATCTGCAAGATCGCAAGACATTAAAGCATAGCTGGACCCTTATTCTCGGGTGAGTCCTGCTCGGTGTGAGGTGACCCGGGTCTCAGCCTGTGGTACCCACAGCCACGCAGACTGGGCCGACTTACTGTGTGTTAATAACAAGTCTGTCCCACTGTCCTTTGATGTCATCCTCAGACGGCTGCTCTGTAATGTAAAGGCCATCAAACTCCAGCTTCCTGGCCACTTCCTTTTCCCGCTTAAAGATCACAAGTGGCACCTAAACGACCCACACACAAACACAGGAAGACCGGACTGTTGGTTCATATCCTTCAGTTTCATATAAGACTTAAATAATGAGCAAATGGCTGACTATTGTGTCTTTATAACATCTAAGAAATACATGACAGGCCGCCATCAGGAGATGGATGTTAGACCACTAAGGTGGAAAGAGGCTGAGAAATGTTATTCTGTACAGATTATCCTTAGGACGTGGTGTAGGCCAGGAGGCATCCTAACCCTGGCAAAGAATCCTCGTACATGAGTCAGTTTCTGAATGATCTCTGTTCTAAATGTAGAGGGGAATTAATTAGTTGTTTGGAAGGGAATAGTTTAATAAACTCCCCTGTACAGAAGGCAGGAATACGAGTGTTTACGGCACAATAGACAGCCAAGAGTGGGAAAAAGGACTTCCATTTTATATTTCTGGATTTAGCAAAGGCACCAGTGTCACATAGCATTATTTGGAAAGCATTGGTTATTTTAGAGAGCTGCTGTTAGTTGGTTACTAAGTCAGAGCATATTCTCAGGACATGAGGCTGGGCCTACCTACAACCGGCTCTGTAACAGGCTGGCAGAGGCTGGAGCAGGCCTTATGGCATTAACACTTACAACGGCAACGGAGATAATTATGAGAGCTTCTAAGTGAGCTGTAAGTGGAAATAGAAATGAAGATAGCATGCGCCTCACCAGGGCTTACATAGATGATATGATGTTAGTGACCACAACAGCATATCATACAACAGAATGAGGAAAATAGTAGAGAGACTTCATAAAAATCCAATCTCTCTCACTTTTTAATGCTGTTTCCTTTTTTTCTTTTTATGTACTGCACTTTGAATGGTCACAAAATGTGTCTTATACACTAAATGAGCTCTAAAATGTGCTAGGCTGGCATGAAGGGAGTGACTCTGGGCCTAACTGGTTTATTACGGATCACAGTGTTGACATTAGAATATTCACTGAGTCTGGTGCGTTTGTTTGTAGCACAAGCTTATTTTCTTTAATTTGAACTTAAAATAAGTGGTGAAGAGGCTGAAGTGAAGCAGGACGTCCTGTATGAAGAGTAAGATTGAACCGGGTCTGATGACTGGAGAACCTCAGGGTTCTGTGACCCTGACATGATGACTGCTGTATTTCTGAAGCCCTGCCAGCTAACAACCTCTTGCTCCTTTGATCTGTTAGCCTATTGTAATATTCGAATTGTGCACACAAAGCCTAAATTGTGCGTTTCACTTGCTGCAGGCGTGGTGTGATGAGGAATTCCCGGTGAAAGCAGCTGTCAGCCGTACCTTGAGGCAGTAGTATCCAATAATGCAGAAGAAGGAAATGACTGTGTGCAAAATGGCCAGGATGCGCAGCATGGGCTCCATGTATCCAGTGCTTTCCTCCAGGACAAAACAGACTGTGACAGACTTCAGAGGTTCTCCAGACTCGTCCACCACTCCATCCTTCAGGGCATCCGTGTCCCCGGCCAGAGGATCCCACTGGACACTGCTGTCCGCTCTGGAATACTCGGCCTCCCTGTCCTCAGCAACCGGCGCACTGGTAGAAACCTGGTACAAAGTATTTGATGTCAGCTTCTACAGAGCTAATTAAAGTCACACAAAGCTAAAACGCTGTCACCCTGGTGATTGGACCAGTGAAGTGAACAGGATGACATCGGCACAGCAACCAATGCACGATGAAAAGAAATGACTCGAATGAAATCTATTCATATATTCCATGACTTAGAGAGAAGAGCTCAAAATTCAGCTTTTAGTCCTTGTGAAAAACAGATTTTTTTCCCTTTGTTTTGGAGTTTGTCTGGAGGCAGGGGAAAGAGGACTGTTCATTGCAGATAGATTTTAGTCACAAATAGTTTAGCAAATTTCGTAACTGTGTTCATTAATGAACACAGCTTATGTGGAGCAAATTGTTTGGAAGAAAGTGGTGTGTGTAATATGCCTGTTGTTACACGTATGATCACACAGTGTTCGGTTACCTTATAAAACAAAAGTATGAAGTTGATTGCAAAGGCAACAAACAACGCCAGCATCCTCATGTTGTAGAAGTTTCTGGCAAAGTAGCTCTGCAGAAAGGAGAGGAAGACTGGTTTAATTTCCTGAGTGATCTAGGGTTACAGTATAAAAATCACCGCTGTTCTATTCATTTCCACTGTTCATGTCTCAGTTTACAAACTAAAGTTCAAAGCTGAATGAACTGAAGTTAACGGGAAAATGTCGTTTTTTTGGAGTGAAATCAAACTTAAGGGTAAAAGAGTTCATCGTACCAGTAACTTCCTTTGGTAGGCAATGATTTTCTTTAAAAAGGCAGATTCCTGTGGATCGGACTCTTCAGGCTTTGAGCTGAGGTGTCTTCTCACTTTTACTTTAGCCTTTTCATTCTTCTGCTGTTTTTCCTCATTCACTATGTGTCCACCTCTGAAACCAGAACACATTTCACCGTTGTTGTCAGTTTGCTGTCAATTCAAACACACTTTTTCGGCCTGCATATTAAGACAATGACAGAAGAGTGTTCATGTACTCATGTGCTTTCTGAGGTTCCAATTCAGCCTCTGGTGGTGCCTCCTTCTCCTCAGTGGCAGAACTCTTTGACTGAAAAAGAAAACATCAAATAAGCATTTCTGTAGGTAAGTCTACTTCATGTCTGATAGCCCTTTGTTTTAATTTATGTTCTTCTAGCTGGTTTGAGGAAGTTGGAGCCAAATGCCAGATACACCAATGCAACACTTCAATTCTCCATTTGGAGCTTCTATCTTTTTCTCATGACTGTAAGTGAGAGTCTTGATGTTTTGTCAGAATTGATTTAATTTATAAATTACACACCACGACCCCTGGAACGATGACAAAGTAAAAACAACCAACAGATCCAGCAGAGTCACAACAAGCTCTACAATTGTAGAATCTGCATGTTTTATTGATTTTACACATATTTTACTCATCAAAATATGACAAACATTTGTGATGGTAAAGAAAAGGAAAAGAATGAGATGTTTGTTACATGCCTGCCGCCTTTGTCTGAGCTCAGTCTGGGGTGCAGAAGCTGGGGCTGAGGGGATGGGCGGGGAGTTGAGGAGCTCTGTGAGGCTGGCATTGGGATCATGGGGGGTGATCTTATACTGCCCTCCTTCTCGTCTCAGATCCAAACCAAAGATGTCAGACAGCAGTTCGGTCTCACTGCTGCTGACGGCCAGATCAGCCAGGTCCTCCTTCAGGGAGCTGCACTCAGACAGCCTCTTGTCCCTGTCCTCCACTTCGTCCCGCACATCCTCCTGGGTGGGGTCAGGCATGTTGGCCAGCAGCTCTGACACCTGAGGGCCGGGAGGTCAGACATCAGACCAAAGCTCTTACTCAAACTACTGACCCGTCATAGTTCTGACCTTTATATTCTTGGCCCCCTCCACCAAACTGCCTCCCATGAAGGTGTTGTAGAAGATCCTGGAAAATCCTCGAGCCACGTTGAACACGACATGTAGGAGGCCCACCAACACTGACCAGTAGAAGGACACCAGGGTGGTCACCAAGTCTTTTACAGTCATGCTCTTTATCTTCTTCACTTGCTTCTTTAAGCTCTTTGTGGATAGCACCTGAGAAAATAAGAAGGCCACAAGTGAACCGTCAGCTCGATGTTCAGAGACAGTAAGTTCTGATGTCAGGCATTTCTCTGACTAACAACAGCTCAGTTACAGTTAGCCCTTTGAAACGGAAAACTAGGAGCATTTCATTGCAAGGATAGAAAAACAGGCAGACTGGTCGAAGTCCAGGGAATTCTGGAGCCTCTCAGGAGGACAATAGCCAAAAGCATAAAGTGAAGAAAACCCATGGAAAGGCTTTGGGAAGCATGATGTCCAGAACAAAAACACTTTGACGGGATGATTCTATGCAGGAGAGCTCGTCCATGGCAAGATTGCAGATTTGTGATTTTCCATCAATTTTTGTCTTCCCACTTATTCCAAAATCATGGTCACAGGGGACAAGAGCATCCAGTCTGACCTTGAGCTGGATTAGACTCCAGCCCCCCCCCCCTCTGTTTGTGTGATGCCTAGGTAATAATCTGCTGTGCCATTTCACTTCATTTTTAGCAACATCTGACCTAATGTTTGATTTGCTGTTATCTGCTTAATGTTAAACAAACAAACTCCATTTCATGGCTTAGAATTCTTCGATGTTTACAATAATCCCCCATAGCTCGACAGAATCTTGCATGTGTGTAGATTTGAACTTCTACCAATTGAAATCAAACAGACTTTATACACACTATATTTTTTCTGATTTCAATATCATAAAAGAAGCAAATGTGCAGATGTTGAAAAGTGTTCATATTTTCTTAAAACTCTAAAACACACGTGGCAGTCTGCTGCAGCCTACCTTTATCAGAAGCATGACGTTGTAGCGCAGGGAGAGGAAGGCCATGCATACGGTGGTGACGGAGAAGAAGCCCGTCTCCGGGTTGTCTTCGTCTGGCTTCTCCAGCTCGCTCTCCTCCTTCACAGACGAGCGCTCGCCTGCGTCCGACATCTGAGCCGCCAGCTGCATTTCAAATATGGTGTCCTCGCAGAAGTTCACAAACAGCTCCATCTTCTCCTTCTCCCCACCTTCATTCACCACGTCGAAGATAAACTGACGCTTAGATTCTTTGACCTGGGCAGGAAGAAACCAGTCATCTGAAATCCTCTGTCCTGAGTGAGCGCGGTGTGTCCAGAGAAAGGCCGGTCCAGCCTCTCCTCACCTGAGGTTTCTCCCACTGCGTCCGGCTGGACTCGCTGATCTCAAAGTAGACCCTCTCGATGCGCTTGGCACTGCCCATGATCTCGATGCGGCCCAGGTATGGCTGGAAGTAGTTGAGGACGCTGTCGGCCAGCTCCAGGAAGGTCTGCAGCCGCGTGTCGTGAGGCATGTGCTCCGACAGGTTGGTCAACAAAACCGCAACATTGAAGCCAATGTCCTTTGGGAAAACAATACATTTAAAATGTCTCATGAATTCAATAGAAACTCCTCAGTTTTCAGCACTGTCAGCATGAGAGACAATGAAAAGCTCATTTGATTATACAGAGATGACCAACATTTGTGAAAGGTGTAACGGTAAAAGCAGAAAATGAAGATAAAGCTATGGTACCAATAGTTGAAGAAAAGTAGTTAAATTCTATTTAATTAAAAAACATTTTTTTTATCTACCTTTTGGATAAAATTAAAATCAAATTTTTTTTAAATGACATCACATGAAATTAAATTATGACTGTTTATGCACATTTGCATGTTTTAAATGTAACAGGTTCGTTGAACAACTCTTACTATTGCATTGAAACGCCAAACAACACAGGAGCAACAATAGAAGTGAAGTAAATTGAATATCTTGGAAAAAAATGAGACAACACAAAGGTAAAACACACAAAAGGAGATTATCTACCTTAGCTGGCTCATGAAAGCGCTCCACAAATTCTTCATAATCCAGGAGCTCATTCTCATCGGTCTCGGCACAGGAAAGCAGGAACTCGGTCTCAGACTGGGTGTAGTGCTTGTGGCTCTCCATGGCCTTCAGGAAGTCTCTCTTGGAGATGACACCTGCTGGTTTCAAATTTCACAAATCACAGACAGCTATTCTAATAAAAAACACCAGAAAATTATGCAAATCCTGATCACACATCAGCCATTAGGACTGGGGAGTGTGTATATAATAAAATAGGTTTCAAGAACTTTGCCTTTTCCGTCTGGATCATACTCCTTGAACGCATCTGAGGAAGTCAAATCCTTCAGTTTGAGGAACATGTCAAAGAACTTGAGGATCATCTCCACGTTGTTGGAAGATTCCACCAGCATGTCGACCATTTGCTTCCCGATGGTTCCGTTCACCACGTTACCTGCAGCAACAGGTAAAACAGACGTGTGACCGAAACCATGCAACATACTTAAAGGTTTTCAAAGTTTACTGTGGACCAATAACACATCTGTGGAATCAAAACTTGTAAAACAAACCTGACCTTTAACATTGGTTTAAAGCATAAGAATATGTATGTTTCTCTCTATATATATATTTATATATATTTTTTAATAATAGACATTTATGAAAGCAAACCTACCTTCCAGCATAGATAGCAGCATGACCACCATGTCTTTCTGTAGATCCATCAGCTCCTTAAGTAACTCAATCTGACTGGAATCCTGAGGTGAAAGCAATAAAAACCCTTTTTGAAGAAAGTCCATGTCATCCAGGCAGAGCAAGTCATGACTAACTAAGTTATGATAACAAAAGTTTTCCAAAATATTATTTTCTCACTTCAGAGACTCCAAAATCCAGACAAAATCATACAGGGATGCTCCATTATTAACAACATCAAATACAATACACATCAAAGATTACAGGAAATATGATGACGCCAAATAAAAAAAATAGTAAATACAAATTATGGACCAACAGAGGAAGGTACAACTAATTCTCCCAGCATGTCAGAGAAAAATTCCACAGAGTAAGCTTTTAAGTTGATGTGATTTCTCTTGGAAAAAGAAAGCTAGCCTTCAAAGCTGCATCATGAGACTCTGCTATGGCAAACAACTGATCACAGAATCCCATTCATGGATCTAAACCAACTTTAAAAGTGGCAAATCTACCTTAAAAGGTCAATGTTCTGTGCTCATTCTGAACTGGACGTCATGATTGATGACCAGCTGACCGACAGAGTTAAGGCCAGCTTCATTTTTTAATCAGTAGTCAAAATTCCCTTACAAAAAGCTAATAATTCACTTGGATTCTTTTGTCAAATGTTTTCTTATATCAAAGAACACTTTAAATGGTCTTTACATTCTGTGTGCTACCTTTTTGGTTTTGTTATCAAAAAGTTGTGTTTGTTAAACCCTAAACAATGGTCCTGGTTTAGACATTTCTCATCTCTTCTCAAATACCCTAAATACACATGGAGAATAATCTGCCCTGACAAAAGAAACGTTGTAACCATCTGAAACATGTTGTCAATCCAAACAAATGCTGTGAGCCCGGTGTGACCCGAGCACTGGTCACAGCTCAGTGGACCCCAGGCAAACTCAAACCGATTCAATAAGTGTGACTTAACTGACCACAGCAGTCGTACGCTCTGCTCTCAACTGACCTGAGACAGTTTCATCTGCATGTGGGCGAAGACGTGCAGGAAACCAACCACTGCATCCCACAGCCGGCTGTGAGCCAGACTCTGCTGGTTCCCAGTGCAGGGGCCCTGCAAACGCACAAACACACAAACACACACACCCATTTTAAACTGTCATAAATTGGCTTATAAAATTGAATAAAAAAACTACACATTTGATTCATAATGGTTCATAAATGATAGACATTTGATATAATATTATTACCATTTCTATGAACTCCTCAAGCATTCAATATAAGTTAATGATGTTTCTTATGCAATTGTATTAACAAATAATGTATTAATAATTTACACTGTTGGGAATAATATCCTTAAAGAAATAACAACTTTCTATAAAACATTTGACATATTTATTAACTTGTCTTGAGAAATACAGGGTTGGCCAACACCTACCTGGATGTATTCTGTGAGTGTGTTGAAAACCTGCTTGGCAACATTTATTGCTTTGGAGAAATTTCTTTGGCCCTGCTCGTCAATAATGTCTTTCCCAGAATAATACCAGTAGAAATCACTGATGGACTCCTGGTGGAGGGGAGGAAAAGGGGGCAAAGAGGAGAGAAAGAATTTAAGATTAATAGAGCTATTGAGTCAACAGTGCTTCAGGCTTCAACACAAAAAAATGTATCAGATACTGTTAAAACGATCTAACGTAAAAGGGCAGCTTAAAAAAAACTATTGACTTTAGAATTAAGGGACTTTTCTTTAAAGCACTTTACATGATTTTACTAATGACTTTCATATAAAGTAGAACTAAGTCAATGCATTTTCTCAAAAGCTAATGCTATAATTGCTTTTTATCTTAGCTTAAATAATAAATTGATAAGTTGTAGTGAACCAACTCATGTGGGGAAAAATACTCCTTGTGTTTGAGTTCCTGTGGTTAAAGAATTTGAATCTAATGCAAGAAATAGCTCCGAGATCTAATGTCAGCACAGAGTGAGAAAAAACTCAACCAGGAACATGTCACGATCAGAATCAGAAATACTTTAATAATCCCAGAGGGATTCACGAGGAGGCAGCTGATGTTACAGAAACAAACCTGGACTCTGAGTAGGTAATCCACAGTTGATATAATGATGTTTACAGTTGTATTGTTCCCTGTTTGGGTCCTCAGGTAGTTTTGGAAGTCTGAAAAAAGATGCAAGCAGGGAAATTCTGCTTGAAATGTGCTAAAATGTTCATTTGCTCAGGTCTTACATGCTGTGTTCAGGTCCCAGCTCATACTGTCACAGTGCAACTGTACTTTACTTTTACCACTATGAAGAAGAACAATGACCATTTCGTAATCTGATTAACACTCAAATAAAGGTAAACTATCCACTCTAAAGATATCTGTGATGGGTTTCTTAACTGGCCGTTTCTTACCTGAGTTGTGGCCCTCACAGAGCAGCTGCAGGAAGCGGAACAGGTCGCACGTGAACTCATCATCCTGCATGACCTTCTCACCTGACCAGAGGAAACACACATCCACGCACAGCCACGAGTCAACATTTATGCACAGAAACAAACGTGGGTGTGCACAAACACACACAACCCACACAAGCATGGGCAAACATGCACATAGAGACACACACACACAGTCATATACAGGAAGAGAGTCAGAAAACATCAAAAACAGAGAATATTTAGGAGGGAAAGACAAGGAAGGACATGAAAATGAAGATGTGTTAAAAGAGGCTGAGCTAATGTGACAACCTCACCCATGTTTTCTCTCAGAAATACATCACAGTCAGAGTAAAGCACTCTTCTTGAACCCGAACATGTGCACTGTTGGATGATGAGCTACACAACCTGGTGAGCTGAGCTATAAACTACAGCCCTCCACTCAGGCTGAGCTCTACACTCTGTTGGTTTGGCTTTAGTTAGATGGACTGCTTCACACTGTTGATGCATGCAAACATAATGGTAACTGGGGCAGTCTTTTCTGAACCATTATCTTAACCATGAAATGTAGGAGGAAAGGAGGGAAGATAAACATTAACAGAACACATCCATTCCAAATGAGAAAAAAAAGAGCCCGGTTGGGAGAGAGATCTGTAGACCTGAGGCCTCTTTTCAGATTTGTTTTGCCAAGAACTAAGTAGATACAAAACACTAGTTTATTCATCATCCTATGAGTATGTTGTGATTTTTCTCTTATCTGCGTAGGAACAATTATGCTGACATCTGTTACTGTTGGCCACCGAATCACATCAGATGAAAATAAACATAGTTACGCTCATCATGGAAATGAGGGTTCAGTAAATCATTGTTTCATTGCACTGAATCAGTAGATGTCCGTAGATGATTATATGTAGCTTACTTTTTTTATTTAAATAAATCAAAAGATACTTATATTACAAATTATATATATATATATACCCCTACTTAACCCTTACTTATCCTCATAATTCCAGATACAAAGAACCGATACAGTGACTATAAAACACTACTCGGCCGGTAAACAGACATAAGGACAGAGGAAGGACGGAGACAGGGACAGAGTTCAGTCTGCTCAGCATCACAAACAGCCACTCTAACACCCCGAGTACAATTCCCCTGAGAGGGACCTGACAGAGAGCAGGAAAAGGGGACGAATGGGAGAGGAGCAGAATACCACCTGTCTGTATTCAAAACCTAATGTAATCAAAAAATGTCAACTTCAACATTAAATCCTTTTTGAAAATAATTAAATAATTCTTAGCACCTTGGATCTACCTATTTTAATGGTTTATTTCATCTAAGTATATTCTGCCATAGCTATTCCTGATAGATAGTTTAGAGTTATATATCTGTCATTAGACTGCATGAAATGAGTGGCAACTTACTATACAGTACAAGATTGTTTCATCTTTACATAAGCAGGACAAAATCTTATTTAACTTGTCTTTTTCTTCTGCCATCTGATAGCTAAAGAGCTTTTGTACATTCTTTTTGGTTGTCTTCTCTGCAGAGTCACATGCTGTCCCATGTTGTCTGCTGCAAAACAGATAGAATGGGTTGCCTTTTCCACAGTTCCACACATTGTACCTCACATGTGGATGAATGCGGGTTCATATGGAGAGAAATGGGCTGATTGCAAGTGTGTGATTTCAAAAACGACAGTGGTCACGAACAGAGGGGTCACAGAACAGCCAGCACAATAACCATCCGTGTTACTGAGACGAAACCACCAACTGACTGGATGTGGAGCGCCAAGCCCAGAACACACTGGCGGCGTGGTGCTGTGCACGTCAGCAGGCTGGAGCCCCGCGCTGCCTCTGCAGCTGCACTGGACCAGGCAGACCTCAGCCGTGGTCAGCCTCCTCATCAGAACTGAACTCTCATAATGGGGGGGGAAATACACACTTTCTAATATTGTGTTTTAGAGCAGAGCTGGTTCGCTGTTCTACCACCCAAACTATTCAAATTACACAGATTAGTTATATTATGTTTTTTGCTTATTTGTTTGTTCAATTATTGATTTAAAATAAAAAAATCACAGTGCAAAAAGTTTTAGTTTTAGCTTCTTGACTTACACTCATACCAATTTTCAGACTGAATTTAATGACAGGTAATGACAGCTCATGTTGTAACTTGACCTCCAGAATAATGACCACTCCACAATTTGACTCATATTTGTGATGTCTAACAGGACCGCTAATAAAAATCATGTATGGCCATAAAATCCTTCTTTTAAAAACCTGCAAAAGCAGAGAGGAGCTGTTTAAGAGCAGCCAGGATGAACTTTTCTGGAGCAGGAATAATCCAAAACTTTTTTTCACGAGAGACGAGGCTTGAAAATGGGACAAAGTTGAGAAGAGATGAAGGGTTGCAGTCAACCAGCCGCTGCTAGTGGGGGAAATGGAAAATATCCCCAATCACTGTTTGGATGCATGTCATCCGGCGCCAGTGTGTTCTGACCTTAAGACCGAGAAAGGAGAGGTGGTGGATGAGGGTGGGAGAAGTTACTCTCCTTTGCACTTTTCTAAATGTGCCAGACACTGTGCAAATCCTGAGGAGGAGGCACACGTGAGTTTTTAAAGCTGACAGGCAGTGGCAAGATATATCTGTGCCATGCCCTGATTACAAAAAACAAACAACATATAAGAAAGAGTCTGAAACCAAGACATTAAAAATCCATCATTAGTTTTAAAGGACAATGGAACATGCAACATTTTAACTTAAAATTTAAAATGAGCTAAGACTTTAAAGGGCATATTTAGTAAAATGTACAATTAACTGTCAGAAAACAGTCAATTAAGGCACTGACTGTCTCAGGGTCTGCATGAGCTGCTCTAAAACAGGCAGATTGTTTCTTCAGAGTACACAACAGCTGAAAGAGGTGTGAAACAGCTTGTCTGATTTAAAAAAAAAAACACATCATATACACTTTAGCTGGGAATGAAAAACACTGTTTTAACTGTTTCACTTAAGACTGGAGGAGCTTTTTTCTCCTTCACAGGTCTCAATGGCCAACAACAGCTATTGAGTAAAACTTTATCCTTCAGCTTTTAGGTTTGGCTTTAGTAAATATGCCCTTAAAATATTACAAAAAGAACTACATTAATAATATACTGTAGAGAGAATACTGAATAAGAAACCTGAGAGTGAGTTATGCATTGACTTCAGTTAAATACAAAATTCTTATGGTGGTAAAAGTTAAGCTGAAGAGTGGCTGCAAGTGCAGAGCTGGTAAAGAAGATGGTTTGAAGGCTCAAACTCAGGACCTGGACAGAACTGACACAACAGCTAAACAACGAGGGTGGAAGAGAAACCATCCAACACACAAGTAAATGGCAAAGGCATAATTACCACGCTCATGAGTGATGACTGAGGGAGGGGAGAAAGGGCATTAAACCAAAATGAGGAAAGAAAAACAGAGGAAAAAGAAAGAGAGAAAAAAAGTAAGACACAAAGAAACAAACATCACAAATAGGGAAAGAGCTTCAAACGTGTGAGGGTTGTCTTTGGGTAAACAGAAAATCTGTACAGCTGAATAAAACATGTTAAAGTTGTGTCACTCTTTTACTGGGGATGAAAGGACACAACAGAGACGGCTTCCACATGTCATATTTAGTCACTTAAAACTAATATGGCCAACTTTTACCATCACACACAGAAAGAACCAACTGAAAATGTCCCAGCATGCCTTGGGTATCACAGGGGTCAGTCACACTTAAGCCCATCGTGAGCCCATTTAGTCTTTTACCACAGTCAGCTCTGCATTACCAAACCGAACTAAAAGCTCCAAACAATGATGCTACGATAAATCGCAGAAAGAAAAATACAAAATGACGATTTGACAAAGGCAAAAGAAATCTTTGGGAGTAACACTCAAAAGCACAAGTCTCTTCCTTAACCAGTATATCAAGAGTCCCATTCTAAAAGCTGATGGGTAGAAGAGACCAGTAGGCCAGTTTGCCCAAATGAATGGCTTATTCTATGACGATAAAAGGGCTGTTTAAGAGTGTTATCTGGACTTAGAAACAAGAAACCTTTACATCAATGCTCAGTGAATGTATAACGTATGCCTTCATAGGCTGTCCCCACCTGAGAAAGGAAATGTGCTGTAAGAAAAGGTGTCAGAACAACGAGGCTTACCTGATCCCTCCTCCGTCACCACCCCCAGACCTTCTGCTTTATTCTGCCTCTCAAACGCATTTAAATCCAGAACGCTGAAACAGAGCCAAAAGTATAAGCAGCTGCTTTATATCCCATGACAGGTCTCTATGGTTGACAGTATGACATGTGAAGAAAGGTCAGTAACAAAGGTTTGCCCTGTTTTCCACACATAAACCACTCTTTTCTAATCATTTGCTGTGTTCTACAAAGCTAATTTTACTGTCTTTTCTGGTAACAGATATAATTCATTCATGGAATATTTGGTTATAAATAAACAACAAAAGTTGTCAGAGGTGGCCACTATTTGAATAAAGAAAAAAATATCAGATTGAGTATAGAATTGAAAATGTATACAAACGTGTACGTGTCAGTCTTAATAGAGGAGACATTTGTTACCTGCACGACTGCATTAGACCAGCCAGACTTTGGAAAAAGCCCACATCTTTCTTGTCCTTAAGATAATCCAACATTTTCTGACGAAGTTACAAAAAAACAAAAACAAAAAACACATTATCATTTTGTATGTGTAATACATACATACATTAGAATAAAAATTCAAATTAGTATATTAAAATGTATTTATTGTAATGTTGCCATATATATATATACATATATACATATACACACAGATATAGTGCCTCTTTGACTTTCTGTTGCTATAGTTTGAACAACCACAGCAACATTACTGTTAATTTCTGATTGAAATGCTGGAATCTTTCTACCTTCTCCTTTTGCCTACTTTCCACAAGTCAACTTCAACAGATTATTATTGTAATGTTGCTCAATTTAGTATATGGTTCAGTTAAATAGAATCAAATATTCAATAGAAGGATGCGGCTGAAAGCTCTGAATGTGAATTACTGGGTATAAATGAGATCAATTAAATCATTTTACTACTGAAATCAAACTGTATAAGTTTTGGTTTAGATTAGTTGGACATTACCTGCTGTACTGTTGAATTCCCTCCATTGAGAATAGCTATGCCTAGCTTCAGAGTTGAAGCAACCATAGGACCCATCTCTCCTAGAAGGGAAGGAACACGTAAATAAACAATATATTTTATGATTGGGTTATAAACCACAAAACTGCTTTGTCGTATAACAAATCAGTACATTGTGAGTTGGGGGATATAACTGAAGGCCACAGAATTAGTGGAGCAGTCAGTACTGTTACAGAGACTACCGCCTGTTACTGACATGGCCCACAGTCCCGTTTATCTGGAGGATTCCACTCTGTTCATGTGAATGAGGAGCCGTCCTCCCACAGTAAAGTAAGGCGTGGAGTTCCTCAGGCTTCTGTCTTCGTTTTGGACCGGTTCTTTTTCCTTCATCTTCTGTCAGGTGACATCATCAGACTACAGGACACGCAGTTTCTTCCCACTGTCACTCTGATACTCTATGAAACCATTCAGCTGTCCATCGTTAATGCCCTACATGGTAATAAACTATTTAAAAAACACTATATGTCTTAAAAGTGTTTTTCAAAATGAAGGTGCTGCAAAATGCCTGAACAGGCCCAAGCCTGAAAACCCTGCTTCAGATCTAAAAAGGTTAGGTACAAATTTTCAGAGTTGGACTTACTTATCTTGTATTGTCTGCAGAAAGCAGTGGGAATCAAACCCTTACCCTTACTGGCGCTGATTGTCTGCAGAACCATCTCTGCAGCTCCGCGGTCGTGCAGCCGCGCCTGCTGGTACAGCAGCTTTTGCTTCTCCATCTCCTTCTCCTGTGGGGTTAAAACAACGCTAGCATTACATCTATTCCAAACATGAGACGGACACAGAGGAGCCAGAGGGGACTGACCACATACTTCAAAGCTCTTGACCTCTCCTTCCTCATCCTCCTCATCATGGCAGCTCTTTGGGAAGTCAGAGAGATGACAAAGTGAAGAATATAAGGAGAAAATAAACCAGCCTTTTAGTAAACAGGATAATAAAATAAGAATGTAATATGTTTAATATCCAATGATATGATTTCAGGTTTACCCTGGCCATGATGTCAGCGTAGGCCATGTAGAGATTGTCTTCATCCAGTTTACTGCAAAGGGAACACAAGGTAGTTAAAAAAAACTAAAAGTAATGTGAAAAAATAATCTGGCGGAACATCACATCATATGTTTTAGGAAGTCCCAAAATGGACCGATCACAGGTTCATCTTGTGAGCAGTTTTTTTTGTTTTTCACAAACAAAAGATGAACTGAAACATCAAACACAATCAACCAGATCAAACAAAAATTGTTTTAACTCTGCGCCCCTGTATAATTTTCATTTTAATTCAATCCGAAACATACTACTGACATGAGTTGGAGTTTCTAGTTTTTCTTTGGTTTCCAGTGGTTTTGTGATTTTATTCTAGTTATTTTCCTGTTTTATTGTGGTTTCTGGGCTCCGTTTCCTGTGTTCTCCTTCACTTTCCACAGTTCTGCTCCTTAACTCTGCTGGTTTTTACTGCTGTCACATCCAGCGTTACTCATTCACCTCCTGCATCCTCGTCTGTTCCATCCATGTAATCTTTGCTCTCCATAAGTTCTTGGATTCCTTCTGGCTGTTAGTGCTCAGTTCCACAGTTATTATTCCTTGTTTTTTTGTTTTTTTTTTGGTCTTCAGGGTTATCTTATCCCTCGAATTTTTGTTTCCAAGTTTAGTTTAGTTTTTGTTTCTTTACAGGTCTGCCTTTTGGTTTCCTCTTGTTTGCCTACATTAACCACACTGACTCTGGAAGCCTGCCATTATCAGCTTCACCCGCCAGTCGTCTCTGATGTGGACACTTTGACTAGTTTTTTCTTTTTTTTCTAGCAAAAAAAGTTTAACTTTTTTTCTAATGGATAAACTACAATTTGGAGCAAATTGCTAGAAAAAAATTAAACATAATCAAAGTCCAATTTATTCCTCCATCCATTTGCTGTCCCTCCTATTCCAAGTGGTCCCAGAGAGCAGGTATACCCTAAACCCGCTGTTATTGAGTGAGAGGTAGGGATTAGAAGAATAAAGTAGAGCAAATACCCAGAAAAACCCACCATTTTTCTGTGAGCGCTGTTCTGCTGAACAGCTGAATAAGCTGATGCAGCGGATCGATGCGCCTCACACCCTCCTCATCCTCAGAGGGCTCCTGTACGCCCGGTTTCTGAAGCACACCAACATTCACAGCAAAACAGGAGAAACCGTTTCTATCAATCACTCCTCTTTAGCGTATAAATCGCGTCAGAGCTCAAAATAATTCACTTGATCTAATATTTGTACATGCATTGACTCACAGCGAGGTCCTCTATGAGTTTGTCTTCAAAGTAGTGCTCCTCTGCCTCAATCCAGGACTTCTCATAGCCCTGCAGGAACAGGTTCACGGCCCGGTGCCTGAGGGGAGAGACGGGCACATGAGATAATATCCATTTCTGGCAGAAAGGTCCTGGTTCCCCGGGACTCCAACCCAGAACCCTCTGGTCCTGGTTCCCCCGGGACTCCAGCCCAGAACCCTCTGGTCTGGTCCTGGTTCCCCCGGGACTCCAGCCCAGAACCCTCTGGTCCTGGTTTCCCCCGGGACTCCAACCCAGAACCCTCTGGTCCTGGTTCCCCCGGGACTCCAACCCAGAACCCTCTGGTCCTGGTTCCCCCGGGGACTCCAACCCAGAAC